GGCCTCTCCCCCGAGGAGCTCCGCGCCAAGATCTCGCTCTGCGACGCGCTCATCGTGCGCTCGGGGACCAAGGTCGGCCGCGACGTCTTCGAGGCCTCGGGGGGCCGGCTCCGCGTCGTCGGCCGCGCGGGGGTCGGGATCGACAACGTCGATCTCGCCGCCGCCACCGAGCACGGCTGCCTCGTCGTCAACGCGCCCACCGCCAACACCGTCGCCGCCGCCGAGCACGGCATCGCGCTGCTCTGCGCCATGGCCCGGAACGTCGCCCAGGCCGACGCCTCCCTCAAGGCTGGTGAGTTTTTCACTCCACGATCTGAATTCTGCGAGACTTTCTCTGTTCTATCTCGTTGAGGAAAAGCACCTACCACCTCTGTATCGTGGAGACGTGCGGTCATGTCTTGTCTCGTAGATATATTGTTACTTATGATGTTAATTATTTTCTGAGATGCCGAATCTTGGGAGGATACTTTCTGAGAAAACAATTCATCATTGTTTATCCCTTCGATTCGGTGCTTGATCTGAAACGATACCTCAGGCTAGATGCAGCCTCTCTTGTAAACAATATATGACCAATGATTCACAAATAGAAGCAGCAACACTAGTATACTACGCACAGTGTTCTAGCAGTCATAGTGATCTTGCCGCCGCTTTTACTAATGCTTAGGGCAAGTTGATATCTCGTATGAAATTGCTCGCTGATGTTTATCTAGCAACCTCTTTTGCTGACTTGACTCTTGTATAGGTAAATGGGCGCGCACCAAGTATGTTGGTGTGTCTCTTGTTGGCAAAACTCTTGCTATCCTTGGGTTTGGAAAGGTTGGGTCAGAGGTCGCACGACGTGCCAAAGGTCTAGGAATGCACGTGATTGCACACGATCCATATGCTTCAGCTGATCGTGCTCGTGCAATTGGAGTTGACCTAGTGAGCATGGAAGAGGCTATGACAACTGCTGACTTTATCTCGTTGCATATGCCCCTTACCCCTTCAACAAACAAGATGCTCAATGATGAAGCCTTTGCGAAGATGAAGAAGGGTGTTCGGATTATAAATGTTGCACGTGGTGGTGTGATTGATGAAGATGCTCTGGTCAGGGCTCTTGATGCAGGAATTGTTGCACAGGTCTGTTCAGTTCTCTTCCCTTTGGTACTTCAAGCTTTACTTAAATTCTGGGCAGTTGTTTTACTCAGTCACGCTTATATATTTATATCTGTGTGCCAGGCTGCTCTTGATGTGTTCACTAAGGAGCCTCCGGCAGCAGACAGCAAGTTAGTGCTGCACGAGAATGTTACTGTGACACCACATCTTGGTGCCAGCACAGTGGAAGCACAGGTATGGTGAATTAGCTCAGAGATGTTGTCATGACTTGCATTCAGGTTCCATTATCAAAGCTACCAAAATGCTGAAAACATCTCAAATTCCTTAGGAAGGAGTGGCTATTGAAATAGCTGAAGCTGTCACTGGAGCTCTGAAAGGGGAGCTTGCAGCTTCTGCGGTCAATGCACCAATGGTTCCTGCTGAGGTATTGCCTCTTGTTCTCTGTTGACTCCAACTTATCCCTTTTTTGACATCTGGAATCTGTCTTTATATACTTGTGTTTCATACAGGTGCTGTCAGAGCTTGCACCTTATGTTGTGCTCGCCGAAAAGCTTGGGCGCCTAGCTGTCCAGCTAGTTGCTGGCGGTGGCGGTATCAAGTCTGTGAAGGTGACCTATGCATCCGCAAGGGCTCCTGATGATCTTGACACGAGACTTCTCCGTGCGATGATCACCAAGGGTGTGATCGAACCAATCTCCGACGTTTTTGTCAATCTGGTCAATGCTGACTTTACCGCGAAGCAGAGGGGCATTCGTGTCAGCGAGGAGAAAATTGTGATGGATGGCTCACCCGAGACACCTCTTGAGTACATCCAGGTCCAGATAGCCAATGTGGATTCCAAATTCCCCAGTGCGATATCCGAGTCCGGATTTGTCACGGTAGAGGGGCGGGTGAAGGATGGTATCCCCCACCTTACCAAGGTCGGAGCGTTTGAGGTGGACGTGAGCATGGAGGGCAGCCTGATCCTGTGCAGGCAGGTCGACCAGCCTGGCATGATCGGGTCGGTTGGAAGCGTCCTAGGCGAGGAGAACGTCAACGTCAGCTTCATGAGCGTCGGGAGGATCGCTCCCCGCAAGACGGCCATCATGGCGATCGGCGTTGATGAGGAGCCCAGCAAGGCCACGCTGACCAAGATCGGGGAGATCCCCGCGATCGAGGAGTTTGTCTTCCTCAAGCTCTAGGCGCAATATGTATGTTTGAATTTGAAATTTTGATGTAGCTAGCTGGTTGGTTGATCAGGGGTCTACTAGGTGTCGGATGGGTCGTCGTCGGCGGAATAAGTTTGTTCCTGGGGATTCTTGTGGTGGTGGTCGAGTTTGGTTTGGTGTTTTGGTTAATCCATCTTATGTTTCAGCATGATGCTATTAATTAATAAGGAGGTCGTTGTCAATACTCTCTCTGCTTTACTTTCTGAACATGGGCGTGGTGGTAGTCTTGTATGCCCGTGCCGTTCTAGGTCTGCTGTTTGCTAGGCCAGATGAGGCACCGGAAGTCCAAAGTCAAATAGGATCTAGGGTCACCAACTACCAGTCTTGTGAATGTGCCCAAAGGTCATGCCCACCACTGCTCAGTTTATTGTACACGATGTAAGGGAAGAGTTAATTTACTTTCATTTTATTTATTTTTTTGACAGCCCAGTTCAGGTTACCACAAATTCATTCAGAAAAATGAGTCAACATGTACACTTGTTTTTGAACGGAGGGGGTAGTACATTTTGCGAACACGCCTGAAGCCACAACAGGGATTGCATTTGACCCCTAGTTTCATGATTACATACCAGTCAAATCGAAAACAAAACTAAAGGCATGTTTCACCGTGCAATCAGATCATGGAGTGAAAAATCATTGACCCAAACACCCAACCGTTTGATGACCTCTAGCTAAAACATCCCATCTGATCTTCTATAAATTTCTTAAGAGATACATACCCAGGAGCTTGAAATTTACAAGCTTGCAGGCTTTCCGAACGAGTCCATACCATCTAGCCCAAGTGAATCGGCGTTGCGCAGGTACTTTATGTACAGCGACCGGGAGATGTTTAGGGCGTCTCCGGTGGCTGTGGTCGCGAAGACCTTCCTGTCGCTCTGCCAGTTGTTGGTGAGGCCAATCCACTCCCTCCTCCATTCTTCCAGCGCAAAAGGCTCGTTCTTCTTCAAGCTTGATATCAGGTGCTTGAAGTAGATGGCGGCCCTTGGCCCGTAGTAGTCCCGCAGCAGGCCGCTCCAGTACTTGTTTGCTGCACCGGAACTCGTTAAGAAGGAAAATGGAGAAACACGGAGAAGTGGGCGGAAGGGCGTCGTGTGATGCGTCTTCTTACCATAGTCGCGTAGCAAGCTTGCTTTTGTTTCGGTGTTGTCGAACCACATTGTAATCTGGGTTCTAGCATTCCATTCGTACTGCACCCGTTTGAAAGCAGTTGAATGTCAGCAATGAACAATATTGCATGTAAGATTTTTTTTAGCAACCTTCGGAATACTAAGATTCGTATATACAATAGCATTGCATGACAATATCAAAGCTTAATACTTAGTGGCCTAGTACCCACAATGATCTACAACAGAATTGGTCTACCTAGCAGTTTTGACTCCTTTGGCCTTGGTTGCCATCAACTAATGAAGCAGGTAAGGATGAAACCGTCCAGTACTTTAAAAAAATATCAGAAGATAAAAGTTATTACCTGTATCTCTTGTTCTTTGCTTCGTGCAAGGCCCTTTGCACTTTCCAACCAGGGCCCAAGCAGAAATCCCTCATGAGAGGCTAGCAGCACGTCAAGATCCTTAACAAGGTTTAGAAAGCGCTCACACAGGGTGGTCACTTGGTTTATGTTGTTTGATTTGTAGCCTTGGATTATCTTTAGGAAGATTTGGTTCGCGTATTTGGCCAGAGCCTGACGAGTCAAATCCACGAGGTCATATCTGTTAAATTCATGAGATTGAATTAACTTATTTAACATCACCATTTGATGCTCCAAAGATGTATATGCACGACTCATCATCTATTGAAAAAAAAACAACTTGGTTCCAAAATTTTCATCGCAGAATAACAATCAGATCGTGTTTACTATCAATTCAAATTAGGTTAGCTGAATAGAAAGCAACAAGGAACATATCAGAAATTCAGGTAAAAACAATTCTAGATGGGAATAAGAAACTAAACAACTGCTACACCATCAAAGGTTCTGAAATGCCAGAAGATAATAGTCGGACAAAGTTCTGGAGGTTTTTTAATTCAGCCGTTCAGAATAGTTAGCATGCACAAAGCCTGTTGAAGATAATACTTTTTTGAACTTGCCAATGACATAGCATTAGCACAAAGCCCATTGAAGTTAACACCTTTTTAGCTTGCAAATGGCATACTTATCTTGCGCCCTATAGGGACGAATTAAATCAAACAAGTCACTAAGAAGCTGAGCATATTGAAGGCTGATCAATGAAACAACAAAATGTGAAAATACTACCACCTGCAATATCATAATACTGAAACATTAACCAAAAGAGTAACAATTTTACGCCATAAATTAAGCAATATGAGCACCTGTGCTCTTACCTGAAGGTGCTGCTGTCAGATACCTCATCTCCATATTCAAGGAAAAGCTCTAGGGCATGTATAACAGCAATGGTATCATACCATATATGTGGTTGATCATATGCATCATTGGATGCATCCTTCACGACAGAATTCTCTGATGACATTGTAGAATAATTTTTGCTAGTTCTCGTATACAATCCTGGTGTTTGAATAACAAAAGGCTCAACATCTGGGAACGCCACTATCACATCCCGGTTTTTGTCCTATTACAATAATAAATTCATGAGCAAGATAACAATAGAGAACACAACCAAACCATTAAAGAATCACAGAAGTAAATTGAGCAAAAGTTTAGAAATAGAAGCTAAGAACAGGTGTACAACACAGAAAAATGTAAACTCAGAAATGTACAGTTTTGTTACTTCACACTATTTCCTATTGCTAGGATATGCTTTTTTTAGGGATCTATTACTAGTTTATGCTTATCTAACGCTCGACGAAAATGGATACAAGGTATGATGATTACATATGGCAGATTTCATACCACAACTTACATTTTTACCATCTGTACAGTTATATAAAGTTTGGTGCAAAATTCGCCAAGCATCTTGCAATCCAACAACTGATTTCCCGTATCTTCTTGTTGGATATGTCTCAATCCATACCTGGAAACAGTGAAAGTCTGATGAAATCTAAGAATTGGTTGCGCTAATCAGCAAGCTCTAAGGGCCCAACATAAATGAAAGAAGTGCACAATAAGTAGCAGGCCACATTTGCTGCAAACTAAACACATCACATGCTAATCTGATGAACTAGTTAATTCTGAAGCATACATCAAACAGAAAATGTGTAAAAATATGGCTCAAAATCTTCATATGTCTAAGAAACCAAATGATGTCTTATATAGCAACTGCCATGTTACACAAGAACAATATATATTTATTGCATAAAGCTCGCTTTCAAAATGGTTTATGAAATTTCACCTGAAGATCCACTTGTCTGTGATGAAAACCCATTTCTGACATAAGGTCGTAAACAATAGGATTTTGCTCGATACCTTCCATAGACATGCCAACTCCAACCTATAACAGACGTCGTTGTTCGAAGAAAGAGATCAGCACATAGAATATTTGCAAGTTCAGTAGCAGCAACAACTGATTAAGCAAATGATGTATATACCATTGTGGAGTTTTCACTTAGTCGAGCATCAATAGGCCCAGAAGCAACAGCATCCAAGACACCATACATTTCAAAATCCGCAGCAAAATTATGAAGCATGCACCTGAAGAAAAGATAGCACCAATTCCTTTATGACAAAAGGAAACAATGACAAGGTATGTTTATTTAACTGAATAGATAGTGCGTTTATGGAGTGGAGAGATGACTTTCCAGATGTAGGGGACACCATAGAACTGATCAGAATTGATCCATACTGGTTTCACTTCAGCATACAGATCGAGAACAATCATTCGGCCAACTGGAACAGAATGCAGTAGTGCCTAACCAACACAGAATTCGATGTAAAAAAAGAGAAACCTCGTAGCATAAAAACTGCACACTGTAATTAGAAAACACGACAATTTGGTGATGAGTAGCAGTAGCCGCCTTTTCACAAGACTTCAGTAAAAAAACGCTAGAGTTAATGACTAGAAACACAGGGTCTGCTCTTATCAACACTTGTTGAGTATGCCAGTTGTGGAATTAAGTATATGTCACTGCAGGCACTGACTTCCTAATTAGCATAAGCTGAATAAGTGAATAGTATCAGAGAGGTAACCTTACAGATGACATCCATCCAAATTGCCCATTATTGGTATTATAATATGTTACTGGAACACTGAAGGCTTGTGTGGTAACAAATAAACAGGATCACCTCACATCATTGCAGTATTCATTTTAGATATATCACATCATAAATCCTAATTTTCAGAGGGACCGTTCCACTTGCACAAATCACAATGTAAATTATTTATGTCACTAAAAAGGTAAAAATACAGATCTCAAGAAAACTGTAATCTAACAAAAGGTTAGCAAAACTAACAGAACAGTACTTAACATATTATCAAAATATCAAACTTTCATGAGATTGCACCTTCATTTGTGGGGGTTCCCAGAAAGGATCGTAAGTAAACAACCAACCCTGTAAAGGATAATACATGTCAGTGAAAGTTTCATATCAAATATTCAAGTGTGTTTTCATGCAGCAAGAAAACATTGGTAACTGGAAAGAGAATTGTGCAGCTGAAGAGGGATTAGAACGAAAAATTAAGCGCATCAACCAAGATATACATACCCTACAATCCTCACAATCACATTTTACATACCAATCTATCGCAAGTGTTAACAACATTTTAACACTTCAAAAGAACTCACTTGCATTAACCAAATAGCATCATCATCACCACTTTGCATTGCCCTGAATGTCGCAGCACCCAAGGAAGAAATATAGTTTGGATCACTCAATGGAGGGGTGTTCTCATCAAAAGTATCACTACATGTACAGAAGATATCACCAAATGAGACAATGAGTTCATCAAACGGGAACTCCTAATAGTTTGAATGATAGAAAGAAACATACCAGTTGTATACATGACTTGTCCTACCATATTCTGTGCAAAGAACATCAAAACTCATCATATGTTTTAGGGATTGAA